TCCAGCAGCTTTTAATGAATAGCATTTGTTTCACAAGGTTAGTCAGTAAGTGAACTGCCATCTCTGTGCAGCCTAAGCATGCTGTAGGGAAGCTCACGCTTTTAAGTCTTTATTTTCTCCAAAGCTAAAAATCTGTTTGTAGTCATCGAGAGGTGTGCATAAAGACAGACACGAATTGATTTATTTTTATGTGTTGTTTGTTCCTGCTCGACAGTGGGAGTCAGTTAATTGGGAGGCGCCTGTCTTTCAAAACAAACTAAATCTGTGTGAGGAGGGAGACAGAGGAACAGATGTGCAAGGTTAATGAGGGGTGGAAAATCTTTCAATGAAAGGCAGATGGAGAAGAAAACCAACATCACATGAGCCGAGTTTAAGAGATGAATTCTGTTCAGTTCTGTCCAAAACCTGTGGCGATGGCAGGTAAACGGTTCAAGCAGCCCGTGAGGAGACAAAGCATTCATCAAGAGCAAGCGTCTGTCCTCCCCCGCCCCTTTTTTTTCTAAATGTACCGGGCAGCGTCCTGCCTCCACCACAATTCAATTCCATCTATAAATAACCTTTCTTGCAAGGACTCGCTGGCACAACATTTTCTGATTAAAGAGATACATAAAGCAGCACACACCTCTCTCTCTCTCTCTCTCTCTCTCTCTCTGGGCTGGCTTCCATGGCAGCTGTTGCTGGTCACTTTCCGGTTACTGAGACACTGCACGATTATTGGTGCATCTATAATGAGGAAAGAGGAAGGACAATAAAGTAAAAGCCTTAAGCACATTCTGCACTTTCAGCAGTTTGTCTCCACTAAAAATCTGAGTTAGAAGCAAGTTTTTTTTTTTTGCCTTGAGGTGCATCTGGGGTTCTGCTTTTATTTGTACTCAGCAAGACATGGAGAGGAAACTAGTTTTATGTTTTCTGCTGCAGGGACAGCGTAATTATCTTGCGACATGTGGCCTTTTTTCATATGCTTAAGGTGTAATGATAATGTCTTAATACAAAGAACCTCATTTTATGTCCCTGGAATATCAGCATCTATTTGTTTTTACTTTATTTGTTTACTTTTATATAAAACACACATTAAATTAAATATAGTTTTCAATGATTAAAACATCATTATTTCAGTTGGAGAGGCGTTTAATATCTCGGCCTTACAGGGAAAAAAGTGTATCTCCAACAAGTAGGAAGAAAAGTGTAAAAGTTTTAAATTTACGGTGTATTTTCAAAGGTTTGCTCCACTCTAGTTATCAAATGTCTGTTTACAAAAATCATTGTTATTCGCTCAGTTTGCTTCAGTTCTGGATGCTCCTGTGATGACTTTTCCTGCAGTTCCATGCTGACTCTAATCTCCCCCTCAGGTTCGGCATGTTTGAGTTCCTCAGTAACCGTGCAAAGGATGAGTCTGGCCGACTGGACAGCACCAGAGGCCTGCTGTGTGGACTCGGAGCTGGAGTGATGGAAGCTGTTTTGGTGGTCTGTCCCATGGAAACCGTCAAGGTATGTTACTCACTGATCTGTGGTCAGATATCTGATTTGATGTGTTTCTTCTCACTTCTGGACGATCACGTATTATGCACCTAAGACGTAAAGTTTTGTTTTTCCAAGCCTGACTTCTAACATCTGTAACAACTGTTTTTTGAAACAATTTTCAAGACATTACAATAATAAGCCTCTACACAGAATAAATCAGAAGTATTTTTCCTATAAACGCACTCTTCTCATTTTATAATCTTCAGAATTAGACTGATTAAAGCATATAAATTTGGAATTGAGAGCAAAGACTTCATACTACTGCCTTTATCAGTAGTGGATCCTGCATATTCCCTGAACTCAGTTTCATTGAAAAGAGCAGAGACAGCCAGACTACACATTTGTGCTGTTTTCACCATCTTAAGTGTCTCCCTTCTCTGTAATAGTATGATTTTCTGTTTAGGATGATGATCACCTTGTGCCTTTTTTTTTTTTTTTTAATCTCTCAAGGTTAAATTCATTCATGACCAGACTTCAGCAAACCCCAAATACAAGGGTTTCTTCCACGGAGTCAGAGAGATCATCAGAGCACAAGGTAAAGAGCAGCTTCAATGCATGCAATTCACCTGACATCTACTGGACAGACAGGGTAGTGCAGCTGAAAATGTTGTGTTACATGTACTGTGCAGTCCATAGTGTTGTTTCCTTTAATTGACAAAAGCTTCATGAATTCTCTTGCCTGGACAGGATTAAGGGGGACGTACCAAGGTCTCACTGCCACGGTCCTTAAACAAGGCTCCAACCAGGCTATTCGCTTCTATGTGATGACCTCTCTCAAGAACTGGTATAAAGGTCAGTGTACACGAGGACATGTACTATATGCATTTGTTTGTTATTACAATAAGAATGAGGATGCGATAAAATCGGATAAGTCCACAATGTATCGTATTAGTATAGCAAGGAACTGGAATATATCTATTGTCTGTGGTCCCAAGTGTTGGCAGATCTGGGTTTTACCAGGTACCCGCCCAGTTCAGTAGTTCAAGACGAGGACTGATTTTACACTGAAGCATAAACCGACTACTCACCTTTACTGACTCTTATGTTATGTCTCTTTGCCAGGTGATAACCCCGACAAAGCTATTAATCCCTTGGTGACTGGAGCCTTTGGGGCCATAGCAGGAGCAGCCAGTGTATTTGGAAACACACCACTAGATGTCATCAAGACTCGGATGCAGGTACATAATATGAAAACTGTTAAAAAGCACATGTTAACTGTTAGCATTTCTTCCTTGTTTGTTTTGCCGGTGTCTTAATTAGATCTGAAGTTGTTGCCAATTACTGAAGTCTTTCCTTTCCTTTTCTTTCCCAAGGGTCTGGAAGCGCATAAATATAAAAGCACGCTAGACTGTGCTGTGAAGATCCTGAGATATGAGGGCTTGGCAGCGTGAGTACGCCTCCACTTTGTTTGGTTTGGTGTCGCAGCATGCTTGTACCTTTAATCCATTGATCACATCAAGCCTTCATTGCTTTCTCGGCTTGCAAGTTATGCTGTAATACTCAGTTCATCCTTTGCATCAAACATACAGTATATAGGTTCTGGAAACAATCGTCACTGCCACTAGATGTCGCACTAGCACACACCAGATTCTCAAACCAAATCAGATGTCTAGTCAGCCACAACTCCTGCTCGTGCTTTGGCCTTATCTCTTTCTTTGTCAGAGGCCTTTTTAGACAAAAACGTGGTTTCTTCAGTGGACGAAATTCTGGAAGGACCCTTTTATTTTAGCTTAATGATGTTGGAAAATGTTCATCAGAATTTTAACAGCGTCACCCATCAATAAATGTGCCTTTTTGCTGAGCACTGATATCTTATGTCCACCTCTCTCTGTCTCTGTCCATCTGTAGTTTCTATAAGGGGACAGTTCCTCGCCTGGGCCGTGTGTGTCTGGATGTGGCCATAGTTTTCATCATCTATGAGGAGGTGGTGAAAGTCCTGAATGCGGTCTGGAAGACGGACTGAGCTGCTGGACGTACAGAAAAGGCGACGGCCTCCTGCTTCCCAGGCATCAGACACAGATCCGAGTTCAGCAGACCTCTTCAGTATCATAAAACCAGCTCTTGAGGGTTGGAGGCTTAGATCAGTGTCTTATGCTAACCAGGAGGTTAAAGAGCTCATAGACGGGGCCTGCAGAGAAGAAAGAAAGCCCTGATAGAGGCTCAGTGTAGCTAACATCAGCTGGAGTGTATGCAGAGCTTTGATGCTCAGCATTGAGACACCTGACAGGACCAAGGGTCAGCTTTACAAAGTGGGTTTATAAAGTCAGCCAAATAACTGAAAAAAAATGCTTCATCCTAGAGATACATCATCAATTTCTAAATGTGAAACAAAACTTGAATATTAGGGTCATTAATATGATTCCTTCATGACTGCTTATTAATAACATTGTGCAGATATTTCACTGTCTTTATGAGCCTGCTTTGTAAAATATTCTCCTCCAGGGAAGAACGTTATTTCTCATCATCACAGCTGTTTTACTGATGTTTACTGCAGGTATGCAGGTGTCATACTGGATTTTCCTCAGTTTGTGTTGCTCTCTGTCTCCTCTTGTGCCTGTTATGGTTTTAAACCCAGAGGACCCAGAATGCAGCTGGTTGCAGTTTACAGTCACATAAACTGCAGTAACTTCCATAACCAAGCCTTTAAGAGAATGATTTTACATTTATAATATGCCAATTATTTTTATACAGTGTAGATTCTATTTTAGTTTATTACCAGCATTATGGTTTTATTGTAAAAATATAATGTATTTTATTCCTGTGCCAAATGCCAAACCAGTTATACTATGAAAATGTGTTCAGAGTGAAAACATCTCTAGAAGTCTAATGAGAATCAGAGAAGAGCAAATATTATTAAGATTCATATTGTGACATGCTTTATGATTATATTTATTGAAAGTTGAATTATGAATATCTAGATGCTAGAGAGACTATTTGCTGTTAACTTGTGCCACTTGTTTTTCCTGTAATCAGGTGTAAAGATGTTTTTAAGATGTGAGGAAAATATTTTATTGCTGTATTTCACTGTGAGTCGAAATGACCCAACAAACCTGAGTCATACACTAAGTAACCTCCAACATCTCTTCTCCCTTCAGTGGAAGCGTTGAGCTCATCAGGTTAAATCCTAACGCCAGGTACCCACAACAGGATGGTTATTTGTCTTCTGTTTACATTAGAGACAGTTTTCAGGCTCTGTGATTCTTCCTCTTGACATACTGTATGTCACAAGATAAATCCTAGGGGTCGTGAGATAATTAATTGGAAAGGAAAGAAGAAATGTATTCTTCTACTAGACATATTTATGCTCATTCTTTCAGGAAATAGCTCTTGGGTGGAACGTCTCACAATTCATAGACATAATTTGTAACCTGCGATGAGGGGTTGTGCAAGGAGGCAATGCTTCATTTCCTATAAAGGGGCCACCCACCAAAAAGACTGGGACTCACAGTCTGTTCAAATCCATTTCCTGTGCTGTTCTGTTCTGGTGCCATGTTTCATTCAGGGTTTGTTTTTACCTCTCACTCATGTGCCTTTTGCTGTTGTGTTCGTTGGAAAATGCTTCTTGAGAAATATCCTCATTTATGAGCGACCTATTAAACTCTTTATTCATCTTAGCTGAAATTTAAGATTTCTGTGGCTCAGTCATATAGTTTTCATAATAACAAATATTTTTCCTCGTTGTGTCATCACCAGTGATGTGAAAACAGTCATAATCTATATGTAATGATTGTACTGAAAATACTGATGGATTATATTTCCTTATTGCTGAAATAATGTTCCCCTTTGTTTAAAAATTATTTTTCTGTTTGGCCAGAACCACTGCCGGATAGCCAAGAGAAAATATTATTGCTATAGAAAATCAATCTAATCCCCTGCTGTGTGTGTGTACATGTGTGTGTGTGTGTGTGGCTCTTTATGATGGATCTCGTGCAATAAATGCCACCCCCTTCTGTTGTCTGTGCTTAATGTAAAGTCCTATGTTGTGGGAGGGGATTTCAAAGCTCATTAAAACAAGCAACTGAGAACTTGAAAGCATGCAGGCTGGTTGTTGTTTTTATCCTCCCTCTCTTGTTCGTCCGTTGTTCTGTCCTTTTGGTTACAACAGATCATGTTGGGACGAACCATGAGGGCGGGCAGGTGGAAGGGGAGGAATCAAACAGGGAAGTCATTGTTCCAGGTTTGGCTGATGGAGAGTGAGTCAGGTATTCCCCTGTCTCTCTCTCTTTCTCTGTCTCTGTCTCACTCACACATTCACACCTTCACTGAGGTTATAATGTTCAGTTTTTGTTTAATCTGTTTTTGAGGATTTGATTCAACTGATCATTTTGGAACCTACAATTTGCAGTGCATTGAATTACAAAATAATAGAACCAGTACCAGACAGTGCAGCCTCCAAAATAACCATACACTTAAATCATATGTGCAATGTTCTTTTTTTCATGAAGGTAGAATTTATGCAAGACTGTATTGTATCTGCAAGGTACATGATAACTGAAGCTTTAAAATAAATGTAGTGGAGTGGAAGTATAAATATAAGTATTAAATAGCATAAAATGGGAATACTCAAGTGCCTCAAAACGTGCAGTAACCTATGTATTTCCAGCACAGGTGTGTGTAGATGCAGGACAGTGGACAGTCAGAATCAGTGTACCATGCAGCGAGGGATAGTGGTCTATCAGTATCAGTTTACTTGGAGAGAACCTGGAATACCATCATGAATTGTGAACTCACTGACAAGACTGAAACACAAACAAAACACTTAATCCTAAACACTAGGGGGAGCTGTTACCAGAGCCTCAAACACATCTGTGATACTCTCCCTCCTCACTGCTCACACACACACACACACACACACACACACACACACACACAAACACACACACCTCAGTGATGAGAGAGGCCTCCCCTCTCTTCATATTTGTACAACAGGGCTTTATGCGGAGGGACAAAGCACCCACTAACCTGCCTATCATCACTCCCTCCCTCCTCCCTCTCTCATCTTGCTGCAGTGCAGAGGACTGGTCCAAAACTGCCTAAAAAAAATCTCTCATCATCTTAAGTCACACAGGCATCAACCACACAGCAGCTCAGGCCCTGAGATCATCTTTGAACTCCAGAGATGAAAAGTGAAGTTCCCTTAGAGAGTAGTCCATTTGTAACTTGACAGCTTCACTCACTTTAGTTTGCCCAACATGTAGGGTACAAATACTTACCCTTCATGTACAAGTACATTTAATGAGTTTTGAGGTACCGACACAAGTGTCTAATTTACCCCACTGTATTTCATAGATGGAAAAGAAATTCTATATATGTGACTAGTTCCCAACCGTTTTGGCTTGTGATCTCTTATGAGATAGATCCTTACAGGGTCCCAGCTGACGTTGGGTACACCCTGGACAGGTCAGGTAGAGACAATTCACTGTGCATGCTTTTGGAGTGTGGGAGGAAGCCGGGATACCCGGAGAGAAACCACACAGGAAAGGCCTCAACTGGGTGTTGAACCCAGAACCTTCTTACTGCGCTACCACGTCACCCGTTGTCTAATACTGCCAACCAGGTCCTCATCGAGAAAAACAGTAGCATTCTCATCTCTGAAGATATAGAAACTCCTTAGAAAAATTTTAAAAACGAAAATGATGAACTGATCAGCCAGAAGACAGACCAACAGTGTCTCTGAAACAACAATAGCCACAGAGATCACCAAGTAGTACCTTATGTGTAAAAGCCCTAAAAAGGGGGATATCGGAGTAAATGATGAGAGACACAAACTTTCTTTAGCTGATGTCACAATCACAAATATCAGTGTATGTTACACACAATATATTTCAGTAATAAGCCATGTAAAAAACAATCAAGGCAGTTTGAAAAATATACTGGAGCAACTTTATCTCATATGCTTTTTCTTTTTAACTCTTCTCTGGCGCATTGATTTGTCCTCGGGCTGGATCCAATCATCCACCGGCGTGCTAATGATTGGGCGGGGCCGTTACGCACTATATATGTAGGCAGGTGAGGCTTGTTCTGATGTGCGCTGCCCCCCCCTCTTCCTGAATCTCCTCTGTGCTGGTTGGCGTGGCTGTGGATCGGCGTGAATGGCGTCTCCTGGTGTTTGCTTGATCCGGCTGCCCCGCGATTGGACGGTAGTCTTTGGGTTTATTCACAAGTACATTCGTAGCAGGTGGTAGTGGCGTTATTTGTGCCTCTGCTCCATTGGTTTGCAGCGTGGCCTACTCCTCTCCTGGCTGCTGAATTAAAGTGTGCCGCCCACCTTGTTTGTCGAGGTAGGCTGGCTCAACTTTATCTTTATTGTTGGCGACTTCTATTAAGCCTGCAACCAAATTATCTTTTTCTCTTGTCTCAGTGTTTTTGAACCTGTGAACTTTTATTATTGAGAGTGGGTGTTAGAAAAATGATCAAATAAAACTCAGGAACACCGTCTGAAAATGATAAGAGTAGGATATTTATTCTTGCAGCAAGGGAACAAGTTACACACCAGAGCTCACAGTGCAAATGTTCAACGGATGCAAGATTCACACAAAATCTTATAATCACAGAATATGTGAGAGTTACCTTGAATTGTTGCTGAAATGAGACAGACATAATAGAGCCTTATCATAGTTAATGTTTTGGTGTAGTGGTCAGGAGGAACAGCAAAAGGTCACTGCGCTCCTCTCAGACAACACTTGTCTTAAAAGTAAACACAATGCACACAATAATGGAAAGTTCTATTAAGGATAATACAGTTTCCCTTTAAGATGGTTATGTTAATCATAAAGTATCACAATTTTTCCAACAGTGGGTAAACCTCCATATAGTAATTTCCTAGGAATGAAATTCCCCCAGGTGGCGTTGTTGACAACTTTTCACCCTGCACCATACCAGTAGTGTGCATACCTGGCGGGGTAATGAAATTGGTTGCTAGCACCTTCCCTGAGCTGTTGTCCCTCAGACTCTGGCCTGCAGGCTGGGCTGTTGGCTCCCTCCTGGTCTGGTAGACCACTGGCCTTGATGCTTCAACTAGTGCCAAGGTTGTTATTCTCACTACTGTCAAGTGGCCAGTAGTTTAGTACAGGGTGGACTGTATGCGGTGGACTTGTCCATCTTGGTCCCTACAGCAGAAATTGAGTTCGGTCTTCTCTGCCCATGCTGGTGATCTGGGTTGCACCAACCTCATCTTGCATGACATCCCCCTGCTTGACAATGTTCCAGTTCAGCAGAGGTACAGGCAGATTCCCCCATCTGAGTATGAGGAGGTGAAGGCTCACATCAACCAGCTTCTTGAGGCTCAGGTGGTAAGGGAGAAAAGTAGCCCTTATGCCTCAACCATTGTTTTGGTTAGGGAAAAGGATGGGAGCCTATGCATGTGCGTGGATTACTGCCTGCTTGACCCCAAGACGAGGAAGGATGTGTTCACCTTGTATTGATGCTCTTTATGGATCCCGCTGGTTTTCTACTTTAGATCGACCAGCGGGTACAACCAGGTACTGGTCTGGCATGCCATTTGGCCTTTTTGAATGGAACCGGATGCCATTTGGGTTGTGCCCCAAGCACCTGGGGCATTGCACAACCGTTGATGCAGAGGCTGTTTAGGGACTACCAGTGTCAGTCATTGCTACTTTACCTGGATGACATCACCTTGTTTTCTTCTTCTGTCTCCCAGCACCTACAGCAACTGGAAGTAGTTCTTGGCCGGCTCCAAAAGGGGAGGGGCTTAAGGTTAAACTTGAAAAGTGTGCATTTTCCAGCTAGAGGTCAGCTATTTGGGGCATGTCACCTCTGGTGGGAAGGTTTCTATAGACCCTGCCAAAAATGAGGTGGTGGCCAAGTAGCAGACTTTGCTCATCCCTTCATTTCAGAGGTTGACGCTAGCCATAGTGGTCTCAGGGCTGTCCTTTTGCATGGGTGGTGTTAGGCCCATAGCTTATGCTAGCTGAGGCCTCCGTCCCACTGAGCGCAACATGGCTAACTATAGTTCCATGAAGCTGGAATTTCTTGCACTTAAGTGGGCAATGATGAATTTTCGGGAGTATCTGTTGGGGCATAAGTGTGTGGTCTTCACGCACAACAATCCACTAAGCTATCTCCATTCAGCCAAACTTGGGGACGCAGAGCACTGATGGGCTGCCCAACTTGCTGCTTTTGACTTCGAGATCAAGTATCGATCAGGTCACAGCCGCCGGCGCTGTGGTTTAATGCAGCTTTGTTTTGACGAGGTAAGCTGCAACTTAATCTTTATTGTAACTACTGTCAGACCTGCAACTAAATACTTTTTTTCTCTCATCTCAGTGTTTTTGAACCTGTGACCGTTTGATATTGTAATTTGTAATTTCCTAGGGGTGACTACGGCAACATAAGATATGAAAAAGCATAAATAATACTGTGCTGTGCTGACGCCTCGGTGATTTTACTTTTTACAATAACGCATGTGACATATTAAAATATAATTTATATATAGTAATCATAAATGCTATTATTTACACGTGTTTCATACCAAAATGCCTGCTGTGGAAAATGCCTGTTACAAGACTTGAGTTACTTCTCCTTACTGTCTTAGTTCAGGAGCCTAAATGCAGTTAATTGATGTTTGACAAATTAGTTTGATTTCATATGTATAATAACAATGATAGACAGTAATTGATAAAAGAAAGTGAAGCATTGCAGGTTGAATTATGTATTTACAAGGTATATACAGTTCATGTTTTCAGTAATGTAATACCATAAGTTGATAGTTTATTTATGTCACTAAAATAAGTGTGTTTTAGATATATACTGTACATAATTGAATTTGTTACATTTGGAATATAAAGGAATAGGTGACTAAGGTCATTGTCTTTTAATGACTTCGCACCTGTATTGCTTAGATGTTCCCGTATGGGGAGGGGCAGGGAGTGATATCAGGTCAGTCATGCAAGCAGAGAGTGGAGCCACACAGTTTTTTGACCTCTCTGTCTCTTGCTTTAGGTAATTATTTTTGATGACTTTAGAAATGGACATTGTTCTGTGTTATTTTCAGCTGTGTTGAAGTAAACAGCTCAACTTTATGGAGTGGTTGTGTGGATTCTTTTGAAGTGGATTTATATTTTTCGAAGTGGAAGACTGATTAGAGCGTCGAGCTAAGGCTTCATTCATTGGAAACCCACACTTAGTTTGCAGCAGGTAATTACCAAGACTTCTGGTGTCAAGGTCAAAGGCTACTCTGTAATCGATTGTTACACCATCTGGTGGTGAAGAGCTGCATATACATTTTTTTTTTCTGAGAACAAGAGTTGCATCAGTCAGCTTCATTTCCTGATGTTATTAGACAGACATTTCTGCACATGATTGTTGTAGTCACACTCTTCAGGGCCAGAAATAGTCATTGATTCAGAAATGTAAATATAGAAAAACTTAAAATACCTGCAGGGCTGTTCATTAGACACTCCTCTTTATTATTCTGCATAAGTAGTGCAAACACTAAAAATTGAGTTTCCTTTGTGCCTACAGTAAGTGGTCAAACCTGCATCAGCAAACTAACCTCTAGAAGCAGATCTTGTCAAATGAGGAGCAGTTTTGATTAAAAGTTCAAACTCCTGCAATGCATCTGGACTCCCATTGTGAAAGGTAAGTTACCAGTAACATCTGGTGGTGACCATGGTGGCAAAAAAAACAACAACTAAGAATGTGTTTTATGAGACCACACGAAATCTTATTCTTAACAAAAGCAGCTTTCATGGTGCAGTTACAAAGTTGGTTTGGCAACAGTGAAGCTACTTCTGCCCATGTGAAGAGTGCATAGTTGATTACCATGCAAACCTGCCCTGGTATGACAGAAGGGAGTGTGCAGTAAATAAGAAAAAAAAACATCAACACATGTCTTTCCACCTCGTGCTGTCACGATTAAAGACCTAATATTTCAATCAGTCTACATCATTGACAGAAACTGTGATACAGTACATCTCATATATACAGTATTGCTTTCTTCTTCCAGAGCCTCCATTCACTCAGAACAAGTGAAGGGTGAGTAATGTCATTGTTCTCCAGTCTTTCTCTCAATGGGGTGGAAGCTCTCAGTCCTTCGGGATCAGCGGAGATCGTTTTGTTGCTGCAACTCAAGAAAAACCGTTTTCACCTTCCGCAGAATTTGGTTTTTGTTTTCAAGTAAACTTTGCTTTTATTTACTAATGAAGGTTTTATAAAGTGGCAGCGCCGCTGTCCGTGGTGCTGAATTAAATTTTCTGATGAAATCTCGGCGGTTTTAGATACTTTTCTGTTTACGGATTTTGTAATGGGAGACACGTGAGGTGCACTTTTCTTTTTCACTTGTTTGCAGCAGTTTTGAATTCCTTGAAACATCTTTGGTTCCAGCTTGGTGCAAGTCAATATAAGTAAATGTCTTTATTACGGCTCATATTTTGACAGTCTTTTCCAAGGTCGTCTTGATTTGATCCTCACTTGTTTCCTGGCAGGAGAAGTGGTCCAACACATTTGGAGAGGACAGATTCCGCAATACCACACTTGTTTTTTTTTTTACTCAAGCAAGAGAGGGAGAGAGAGAAAGAGAGGGAGTGAGAGAGAGGCTGGTACTGTACGTCTTTGCTAATAACCAACAGTAGCTCTAAGGGGCGGTGTCCCACAGAAGGGTAGAGGAGAGCTGGTGCGCACACAGGCTCCACTTTTACGCATCGGTTGTTCGTGTAGGTGTCAGTGCAGAAGTTACCTCGTTTTCTTCGTAAGTAGGACCATGTTGCACTTGGATGTTATATAGAAAATACCATCTGTGTCTTAATAACATTGTTTAGTTTTTAATCACCATCCAACGTGAAGCATACACCAACGTTGTGTGTGTGCGTGTCTGTGTGTGGAGCAAGTGGACCTAGAAAAGTTTCCGTCATGGGGGCGCAAGGATGGAGCTCAGCGCGTCTCGGGTTCGTCGTTTGTGGATATTTGGCGTTTTTCTGCGGGGAAATAGTTCCACGGGCTGAAGCGGGCTGCAGGGAGAGGGAGAGCCCAAACTGCTGCACCGGCCGGAATAACGAATGTTTTGAGTACACCAAGAGGAAAACGGTGTGCTACTGTGATACCTACTGTAAGAAAACCGGAGACTGCTGCGAAGACTATCAACGTGTGTGCCAAATATCTGGTGAGTTACTTGTTCTGTCGCGGTCACTGAAATCTGTAATCAAATAATGTCAGAAATTGTTAATGCTTGTGGGGTTTGTGTCCTGTCCAGAGACGCCTGTTGTTCATTATTGTCCAGTTTGAGCCAGAGGTGGCTGGCATGGAGGTGACACGGAGACAGTGAGACATACTACACATAGCTGTTTCTAGCTGTTTGTTTTAGCCAGAGGTGACCATTTGTAGGGGTTGGACTTGGAGGGGTATCTCCTGTCTTCATGGTGTGTTTTTCAGCGGCAGGTTGTATGTATGTGTTTTTAAGTTTGTAGGGTTGACCCTTGGCCTTCACATCAAAGCTTCAAATTACACAACCTGGCCATGAAGTGGTTGGAAAGTGGAGTGATTGATCATAAGAAAGACCAAAGAAATAAAAACTCCCCTTTGAATCATGAAAGAGACATTAAGTCGTTCAGAGAATCCTTAAATGTGAGTTTGGGTAACCTCTTCCCCCATCATCCAAGCTGCTGCTGCTGCTATATATGGACAAATGAGGGGATGGACACCATGGAAACAAACTGCCAAAGATGGTCAGGATTACAGTGGAGCTGTGTCTGAGATGTGACACACAGGAAACTCTCCAACCTGTAACTGAGGCTGCTCTTACAGTATGTTGAAACGCCTCAACTTCAGGAGGAGTGATTCACTAAGAGTGTGACCCTTATCTTAAGTCCACACTAACAAGCACCTGCATGGACAATCCTACAAGTCAAAGAGCACTTAAAATACTGCAGCAGTCCTTCTATTTAGTCACATTTAGTGTTTACATAGTGAACCTTTGTTTGAGTGCTGTATCTGTGTGGTGATGTGAGCAGGCTGCCTCATCCAGGCTTGAGTCAGTCACTTAAAGGTACATAAGTGCTGCGATGGAAGCAGTGATACACTTTATTAGGCCGCACTGTTCACAGCAAAAATAGCTGTGAACCATCTGTTTATCACTCTGAGCCATATGAGCGTTTTGCACGTTTTAATTAATTTACTTTTTCAATACTTGTATACTTAAATTACAATTAGCATCATGTAACATATAGCTTTATTTAATTTTTTTTTTACAGATTGTAAAGCCCTTTGATACAAATTTGTGATTTTGGGTTATATAAGTAAAATTAACTTGATTTGTAGATTCCTGCTTGAGAATCCTGATCCATCATCATCCATCAAGCAGCATGTTCTAATCAATCTACAATTTGAACTGCATTATCTTAAACAGTGGAAGTGTTTTGCTGTAATGTTAATTAAATGTGATGTCTAGACCATTAAATAGGCTAAAACATTCAAAAACACCAGTACAGTTCTTCAAATGTGCAGAAACTCTAAAATATTGCAGTGATCTAACTGTTTTACATTAAATAAGTAAGGATTTTATGCATACAAGATTCTGTTTGTGCTTTTGAATTGAACTACCAAGTTGACTGATTGCGCATGGAGAAAGGTTTCTTGTAGAGAGGCATTTTCAGCACAAATGAATGCACTCTGCAGTGCTGCTACACTTAAGGAAGAAATATTGCAGACTCAAATCTCAATTTGTGTTTTTCATCCACCAATCAAAGAGGCATGTCGAGATGGCATTTATCATCCGGCAGCCAGCAGCCAGGTATCACTTTATCCATCCCATGTGTCTGCCAGGCTGACCTCGGGTCAGTGTTGAGTCATCACTGTGTTGTTCAACAGCAGCTGGTCCCTCGGAGGTCAGCTGACGGCTGCCATGTGCATCAGTTCACTCACGTGTCAGATGAGGACTTTTAGCACCGTGGACCTCATGTGTCGCTCCGATGTGACACAGTACAGTAACAAAGACCAGAGTCTCAGTTTGGTGTGATGCACATGTTACAGGTTGGAGAGTGTTTTCCAGATGAATGTGGCTACTGTGCAGAACAGCTGTGAATCAAGACATGACTGCTGAATACTCATGTAAGGGTTATATTCATTTTCAATTTAGAAAGTAGCAGCTGTAGAAAAATACTTTTAGGATGTTATCTTTGATGGAGAGAGACGTGTGATGTCATCTTAACCATGACCTTTGAACCCTGTGTGGACCAGTGAGCACTGAGAAAAACATTCTGACTTCCTCCCTTTGCAACCTGAGCATCTTTACAGTATAAACACAGCTTGACCCACTTCCATCAAAGCACCCTGATATTTCCTCACCCACATTACTCTCTGAGACTTTATCTGATCCTGATCCTGCAGGTCTGTAGCACATCAAGGAGTCTGTCTGTGTACTGTCCGTCACAGTCTGTAATTAACACGTGTCAGCTGTAGCCGAGCAAAGAGCTTGGAGTGGGTGACATCAGAGGAGAGACAGAAAGCGAGGCAGACTGTTTGTACCACTTGGACTCAGACACTTAAAGCTCTTCAGAATGTGAAATTGTTCTCTCCAGAGATGTTGTTCAAATGAAGTATCTGGCAGGACTGTGTGCTGTGTGTAAACAGTGTGGAGGATGTTCCTGTGCACGCCAGTAGACATAAGTCAGATTTTATTGCTCTGTTAAGAGCTGTGAGGTATTAATTGAAAACAAGAAGAGTTTGCGGTGGAAGGTTTTTAAGGAAAAAATTGTCCTCCCTTCAGCACAACCACCAAAGCAACTTAAAGTGATGTGTTGTGCATTTCTGTGCCCATTTTTGCCTCACTCATCACAGTGTGGCAAGGCTCAGGAGACATTTTCCTGGCTTAAAATCATCATCAATGGGCATAAACAAAAATTACTTTGCAGAAGGTGTAGCACCAGAAAGCTTTTCTCCCCTTGACTGACTGAATGCACCACTTACTGAGCCATTCTTGTGTTTGAAATATTCCAGGTTTGAAACATTGAAAAAATTGTGGAGTTTGTGGAAACATCACATTTCAGCTGATAGTGGAGTTGCTCAGCAGCCCTGAATTTTTAGGACCACAAAGTGAAGTTTTGAAGTTGAGGAGTCAATATATGTCAAGTTAACACAGTTTATCATCTTTATCATCCAAACCAGTCTGCATAATTTGCTAATATATGTGTCTTCTAGCTCCTGGGCTTGATTCTGAGTGGATGCTTGTCTATTTAATGTCTCTTAATGTCAGCAAAACTAAGCTTGCTATTATTCATGGCTGGCTTGGCAAGGTTATGTGAAAATTTTCCCCCAGCTGAGCTAAAAATAAAGGTTTTTAACTAAGCATTCATAAGCTTTCATCTGTGGCGTTTCATTTTAAACATACGTGGACAAATGCATTGTTGAGGGGGTTGAGAGGATACCTAATTCTGTTCTGACTGAAGCCTCACTACATCAAAATGAAACACAGCCTTAAGATAAGACGGGAGACACTTTTTTGGCTCTCGCTTTCGTTTCTTTGCTATGCTATAACTTAGGGTTGTCAAAAGGCATTCTGGGATAGAAAAGGGAGGGGATAGAATGCGAGTAACTGTCACAAATGAATGATACTGTATGTACAGTGTTAGAAATCCATGTGGGGAGTTGACTCCAGATTATTTAATGGCTCACAGGAGGATGGGGGGGGGGTCCTCTCCTCTCCTCTCCTCTCCCCTCCCACTGAGGAGTCTGTTAATTCTCATTTCAGCAGGAAGACATATCGTAGCCTCTGCCTCAGATACACCGGAGGTTTGCTCATCACTCATCCGTCTCTCCTGCAGGCGCTTCTGCTCCTCTTCCTTTCCTCTAGGGCTGGACGATATTTGCGTCTATCCAGCTACCTTCACTCCCTCTTTCCCTTCCTGGCTTCCCACATGTTCTTTGCCGAGCTTGACTGAAACAAGCCAGCTGTTGTAGACAGCCAACCATCACGTTTCTGCGGGTGCTCACACACTGCACGTACCAGGATAACTACTCCTGGTTGCAAGAAAGTCATCTTTATCATTCCCTGAAGGCGTTTGTCTCACTTATGATGATGATGATGTATTCTTTGTCTAAAAGGAGTTTACATTATGAGTCTGTCCCAACTTTTTGCTTCCACCAAGTTGTTCATTAGATAAGATGCAAACTCAGAATTGATATATTGAGTTTGTGTATCATGTCTGTCGTCCTTAAGCTATAATAAAGTTCGGGAGGCCATGCAATGCAAGCACTTCTTAGGTCCTGCTATTTCAACAGAAAATCTGTCTCAGCTGTGTTTGTAATGAATCCTTTTAATTAGTTGGTTTGTTTGGCTCCTCTTTTCAAGGTGTCTACAGGAAACATTTATATGCTAACCTGTTATTAGGGCTCAGTCCTGTGTCCTTTACCTCTATTAACAGGCTTATGGTTCTCCCTTGTGGTGCCAAACATTATAAGGCTTGTCTGATTGGGACCAAGGCCCAGCTCTGTACATGGGAAGGGAGGGTGGCCGCAGAGGTTTTGAGGTGCAGTGGTCCTGCAAAGCAGCTGGACATCTGGGTCCCATCAGAGAGGAGATGGGAGGGGGTAGGCCTGGGGGGGGGGGGGGCGGGGGGGGGGGGGAGTGAAAAGGAGGACCAAAAAAAAGGAGACAGATGGAGGAGCAAGAACAAGGGAGAGTGTGTGACAAAGTGATAAAGGGAGAAGAAGATAAAGCAAATTGGGCGGGCAGGTCTGATAATCAGCTCTTTTGTTATGAGACCCTAAAATGGAAGCAGGATTCAGGGAGAGTGAAAGAAAAAGCAAAGGAATGCCCATGTGAAAAGCTAGATTGTACACTATTATCTCACTGTAACAAGTGTGACTGGAGATTGGCTGACAAGTCGGGAGATAAAAGTGCTGATGTTGGATACACATTCAGTCCTGTGTTTCAGTGAGTGGTGTTTGTCTGAAGCTCTGCCAGCTGCCGGGAAGGTTAGCCACACTCCCACAAACTCTGTCTGAACAAACTCCTATTCTCCTGAAGTTCTATATATTCTTCTATATATATTACTTTCAACTCTCTTGTTTAACTAGCTACATTTTTAAACATGTCAAACACGTCATCTCTGCAGCAATCATGCTCCAAATCCCTGAATACCTGGTTTCAAATCTTAAATCATGAATGATGTAAAAAAAATGTGTGACTTAAACTGTTTCAAACTGATCCCCCTCCTCCTCCTCCAAACCGGTAAAAATGGAAACTGTTTTGGCAGAAAGGTCCGTGTTTGTGTAGGATCCTTTCATTCACAGCAAGAAGCTGATCGAGAAAATACCTCTTCAGGACCTTTAAGTTAACCACTCGTTCTGTAGGTTGTACCATTTTTTTTTCTCACACTTTTACTTTAACATCAACCTTGTGCTCCAAAAGATTAGAGAATAAACATCTAAAGTCAGGTGCAGATAAAACAATCTAAAGTACTTGAAAACACATTGTAAAAAATATTAGCTCATTGAAAAAACAAAAGCTGAACCTGCTGACAACGAGCACCATTTGTTTCCTGTATTGGGGTCAGAGGTCAAAGGTGGTGGCGCACTTCCCAACTGGGGACTTTCTCGTCAACAATGGGAACAGGGGACAACAGTGGCTGTAAGCTGTGTGGGTCAGGCTGTGTCAGACTGTCAGCGGGGTTATCGCGTGGGTGGTGGGACTGTCGCACTGGTGGTACCAGAAACATAGCTGTGGACCACCACAGTTAGGTAATAACCCTCTGACCTCTGGTTGGCTCGGGGGCCAATAGGCTTGAGACTTCCAGACAGGGCCTCAGTCCTGTTTGTGTGTATGTCGGTGTCGATCAGTGGGGGTAATAGCCCTGTTTCCCCCTTGGGTGCGGGAACTCGCCGACCCTATTGGGTTCATTGCACACCCTCAACAGTAACGAGCCCTTCATGTTTTTTCCCGCTGTGAGAGAGAAAAACAGCAACATCGTAACTGCTCCTGTGAACGTCAGAGGATGTAGGAGGGAAGGAAAGGCGAGGAGACAGGAGCAAGGATAAGAAGAGGAGGAGGAGGTCAGAGGAGGAAGCTGATATGGTTGTAGTGTCTAATTCGATCACGCCCTTGAGTATTCTTTCAAGAACCTCCGTGTCCCTCTACACAGAGAAATGTGTATGTCTGTGTGTTTTAGGGTGATGACTGAGGATGGAACAAGCCCAAGTGGGTGGGTTTGTCTGACAGATATTGTTTTCGATGTGTGTGTGTATGCATGTGTGTGTGTGGTGATCTGGGAAAGGCGAGTGTCAGGTGGGCAGCACTAATGTGCAGGAATGCAGAGATTCCACAGTGGCTTTGTGGATCGGCTGTGTCACTGAGACAGCCGCCCCCCCTCCGAAACCCCAACAGGACCATGGGAATGAACCGAACAGGCGGCACCTTGAAAGCTCTCTCTCTCTCTCGCTCTCTTTTTCTCCTGTTCACACACACACACACACACACACACACACACACTTGCAGCATTGTACTGAGAGTGGTGAGTGTGTATTATAAAGACAGAGTGAGGTAGATTAGATGACGACGGAGGATTAGATTCAGCTATGGTATATTTATCCCCCCTCTCCCTATAATTTCACCAAGAAACATCTGAGAGTTTCAAGCTGTGTGCACCTGCTCTCATTGTATTAAACTTTTCTTGTCTACAGTGAGAAAATACAGCTCCACACTACTAACATAACACTTCACCAAGAACAATTTTGCAGTGTAAATCTTTAAAAAGCATTTTTTAATTTGTGTGTGAGCATTTGAGTGCCTCTCTCCTCTGTTGTTTATGTGTTTTATGACGGGCACACTTCCTCCCTGCTGCTATTAAATCTCAGTGTTGGACAAGGCTTGATTACTGCTGGAGACTCCTGGCTTTGATCAGAGCAGCCATCTAACTAATACAGCTTCCTCTTAGCCTGATGTAATTAGCTCAATCAGTCTACAGAACACTGATTGCTGCTGCTGCTGCTGCTGCTGCTGCTGTGTTTATGTGTTGTATTTGTGTGTGTGTGTGTTGAAGTGTGGTGTGGAGGGAAACCAGAGAGAACAGGATGCAAAATTAGACCCTTATTTTAAACGCCCGCCGCACACGACCTGGGTCGCAGACTTCCGGAGAGTCTGGGGTTTGGCTGATCTAACATTAGTAGATGGTAATGACCCAGTCACTCTTTTTTTTTTTGCCACCCCACCTACCTGCTCAGTGCAGTATCATGCAAGTCTGTATCTGGGTGTGGGTTGCAGCTCACACTTTCAGTCATGCAGTGAGACATGGCAGAATTAGACCCCTTGTCGTGATAACATAGCTGGAAAGAGCTTGTTAGAGTCAGAAAAACATTTTTCTTTCTCTTCTACCCTCATGCCTTTAAATCTTCCACCATTGACACTCATTTTAACTTCCCAAAAGTACTTGACCTCCACTGAGATAACCTAAAGCAACCCAAAACAACTAGAAGAAGGTTCAGATGATCCTTCTGTGTATTTTTCACACATTTATTTCATGATTTTTTTTTTTTGTGTGCATTTCTGCTGCCATATATCAAAGACCCCCAGCTGATCTCTGTATTTCCCTGCTTCCCTAGCAGCCATTGACTGTGTGGTGGGATCATGGGGTCCCTGGTCATCGTGCACATCTCCATGTGGAGTTGGCAGCACAGAAAGGAGTCGCCAAGTATCTGTTCCCCCTAGAAACGGAGGCATGCCCTGTCCGGACCTCAAACAGCGTCGAGGATGCTTTGGAAACAACGCCATATGCAGCACTGCGAAAGGTGAGAATGTGACCTTTTCTGTGTGCTCCTGCATACGTGCATTTCTGCATGCACGGACTCCTGCTCTGAACGCTGTTAAACATGAATTTGGTATTTTAATGTTCTCTGGGGGACCGTTTGTTAACAGTTTTACTGTAAGCAACGCATTTGCGCACATCTGCTCTGAAGCCTTATCTCCAGCTGCACTATTTCAAAACACCTCAGTTATGGTCTTTACTGTTAAGCAACTTATCCGGTGATAAAACACCAGAACTCAGATAAACACTCTTCCAAGAAAAGATTTTCAGGGAAAACTGCACTTCACATCACTCTCTATTTATTTACCTGACATCATTGTTGCCCCGCCCCCCATTTCCCCCTTTCTATCCCCACACTTGACTTTCAGAAGTGGCAAAGATCCTGCCTGATTCCTTCAAGAGGAACTTCAAGGACCCTTGGAGACGACCACACATGCTGATGAAGGAGGAGAAGGCCAGGTGAGTCCTCTATTATCAGACTGCAAACAAACACACAGGACTGCTCACTACTGACCCAGCCATGCAGCCCACTTTGATTTCCTCTTTTGAACTGGCTTTTATTTGCAATCAGTGCAGAGAGGGAGTAATTACAGCTGAACTGTGTGAAATGTTGACTGATCGTGTGTCCGGTACTGCACTGAGGCTGAGATTTTGTGGTGACAAAAATGCTAGCCAAGCATTATTTATTTATGCAGTTTACAAGCTTAATATTTAAAAAGCATATTTGATTCTATCTTTAAAAACACAACTCTTACTCCTGGCTGTAATTATAATGAACAAAATGCTCTACTTTCTTGCCAGCAGTTGTTTATTAATAATTAAGAAACTTTCAGATGTTAGAAAATAATTCTGGCATAAAGTTCTTTCATTCCAGCTCCAACCTCCGAGGCTTATCAGCTCCACTGATAGCACTGGATTTTACTCTAGGTTCATATCAGTTTTTCTTTATTTTTTTCCTTAGTTTCAAAGGTCACTTTAAGGTCAACTTTGCGCTACAAAAGATTAGAGAAAAAGTACACAGAGCCTTGAAATTGCTTTGACTGGGTAACTTGAACGTCAACACTGAATATTTGCATCATGAGCTGGCCTTAAGTGATAAGGCAACTGTAATCCATGTACGAGGTGAACCCTTCCTGCAGAGATGTCACCTTTGATCTGAAGCGGATTGCAGATGTTCTCAGAGATGGAAAAATCAGAGACAAGGGAATGAAATCATGGCCTGTTTTCCTGACAGCCCACAGCCTTTCACACTGATTAAAAAGGACATTGGATACCTTTGTTTTGACTGCAACACAAAGCATCAGAGGATTGGAAGTGCATTACTCATAAATGTGAGAAATTCAGCACAGATCATACAGAGTTAGGGTTTCACAGAGACATCTGGTGCATTGACAGGTCCGTGGTGTTGTCATGGAAATTGATCCAGGAAATGAGGGGTTAAAATGATGATTGTAGTTGTCTTTGGATCTCTTGTTATTTCTGGGAAATTACTGGAAGGAGTAAGATTTTAGATGTAACACTTGGAGGCTTAACACAGATCTGTTTTAATTCCTGACAGATGATCTTAGATCTTTCAGTAATTAAGACATAAAGATATTTGTTTTTTTTTTGCACATAGCATTTTAGTGGTATGAACAGGGATTTGAAGCTTTTGAGGTTTGGTTTGGCAGAATGTACAAGTCCAAGCCTGATTTAGGGAGAGAGAAAAAAAATCCCTTTTCAGCAATGGTATGTGTGCATATATATGTGCAGAACTTCATTACACTTATTTCAGCATAATTTAAAAATGATCTCAAATGCCTATGCTAATAAAGATTTATGACAGAATCCATTAAGCACAAGATTTTCTGAACACTCCAAATCAGACTATTGCACAAGAAGATATTTTCCAATGTTACTGTCGGACAATGTCCTTAGGAATCATTCTGAGAAAAAAAACAAAAAACATGATGTTTTCCTAGACAAACCTCCCTACTGGGGATGTTCTTTTGTCACAGCTGACTGAGTCATTGACAAAATAAATAGTTCCTGCTAGAGAACAACAGGGATCTAAACAAGACTTTATTATTGTTTCCAGTGCACAGACTGATCCGTGTTGATATGAGGATATGGCAGATGACCATGACACTGCTGGATCACCTTCAAATGGAGCCAGACTGTTATCAACCAAATTCTATTTGGCTTTTGTCTGGTTATAATCTTGGGCAAGTGCAGCTTGCTGTGTTGGATCACCACTTGGCTTTCATCAATCAAGCCAAGCTGGATCGCTTGAAGGGTGGGGGAGAGGGGGGAGGCCTTGTTGGAGCGCTTGAACCCGGCCTGTGTCTGTCTCTGTGTCTTCATCTGGACATTTTGATGCTGTAGAGGCATACGTGAGTGAATGATTAAAGAGTCCAAAGCTCAATCCAAAGAACAAAATATCAGATGCTGTGCTGTTGGCTACAGAGCTGTGTGAGCAGCACCCTGTTTGATTCTCACAGGATTATGTTTATAGGTTTTTAAGCTCATGGATGTGTGAGTTGACTTTTTGACCTCTGCATTTTTTATTTTATTTATTTTTTTGCCACATTTAAGAATCAAAAGTAAGTAAAATCGAGAATTATTTTTGACACTTCTCCTGTCTTTCCTTGTATTTCTTCCCTCTGTGCGTGCAGTTACTGCGTGTACCTGCGGGTGAAACAGGCCAGTGCGGCGTGTAAACTCAAACTGTGGAGTAATCAGCTGGTGAGAGAGAGGCTGGTCTGTGCAGAGTGTCAGAGTGATGCCATGTCAAAGTCAGACCGCTGTGGAGGTGACGGCCTAGAGAGCACCAGGTAAACCAAACAACCCACAAGATATGTTAACCCATTACAACCCTGATGGTTGTAAGCTTAGGATACTGGGTCTGTGTAGATGTGTAGTCCAACAGCTGCTTCTGAATAAGCCAAATATCTTCCTCAACACAGATCCTGTAAGGTGTAAACTGGAAGTGGGATCAGAGATTTTCATAATGTGTTATGCACCATGTGTTACGTGGTAAAACAGATACAGTCAAACGTTGGCCAAAGCTAAAGTAAGCATACCGTTCAACATACATTTAAAAAGTGTGCAGAGCTGTAAAAAAACATCAATTAGTTAGTCTGACACTGGATAATATGGAAAAATTGTTTCCCTCAAAACTGTTTTTTTTATCCCTCATAATGAAAAGACTTTTCCTCTATATGCCTGATGCGGTTGTTATGTTCTCAGAACATTCTGGGCAGCAGCGTCAGTCCCAGGCTGCCATGGCTCCTGGGTACGGGAGTCGTCTTCTGAGGGCTGCCGCTGTCCTCCCTACTCCGTGCTCTTTGTGTGAGCTGACATCATTCAAACCCAAGAAATCCGTGTGCAGGGAAAAGGTTTCCCTCAACACCTCCTGCAAAACTGTGGAGAGCCCTGCCAGCCAAGCCAGACCCCTTCGATCCAGATTCCTGGATGGGTAACTCAAGGAGATCAGCAGCATCCTGCCACTTTTTCCTTTCACCTCATACTCTGTACTGTATACACTATTGCTAAGCACACAGAAATTCTTGCATTTAACTTCAGATTTTACAGCCACGTTATGTACTTTTTCTCCTCCAAAGCACAGCAACATCTATTTACCTTTTTACCTCTGAATCTTTGCTATCTACCTCCATCAATGCAAGTGCATTTATTAATGCATAATGTATAAATATATAAATATATTATTTTGCTTTATACATTTTCTACTTTTGATTGTTTATGTGTAATGTATACGTGTCGATATAGCTACACTTATTTGTATCCAACAGTTTTACCACCAAACAGCAGCTGCTGCACCCAGTTTAAACCGCAACCCAAAGGGTCCTATATCACCTGCAGGCTAGAGATGCTGAAAACTGGTTCCTCCAAATTGTATCCAATGCTAGTCAATATATCTGTATTTTGCAGTTTTGTCTCCAATATTATTTCTTGTCAACAAAAACATTTACATCAGCAAGTCAAGGTGAATATCAGGTATTGATTCTCAGGTGCTTAGATTTGTGTCTTTGTCTCCCATCAAGCTTCCTCTTACATGTTTGCCTCTTCTTATGGTGAGTCACTGATGTTTTTAGTAGTTTAAAGTGACTCATAGCGGAAATCATTCACATCTGTTTAGACCTAATATTGTTGGAGAGGAAAAAGAGCCATTTAAGAGAATTTCGCTGTGGTTCTCTGTGTTCTCTGTGTCCTCTGTGACTGAAAGGAACTGTTTTCTCTGACTCCCTGCCTCGCTCAGAAATCCAATTAAATTCACAGGGGAGTTTATTTCATCAAAGTATCAGCCAATATAACTATCCCATGCCATGTTACTCCCATTTTATTAATTAACAGAATCTTCTCCCATCAACCCCCTCAGATCCTTGACATGCACTTCTTCTCTCTTCTCTGCTCTTGTTGTCTCTTGGTGTTTTCTGTCAAAGAAACTGTAGATGCACAGCGTTACCTTCTTGACTTAAAAAGCAGGAGTCAGTCAACCAGCTCTGTACGCCTTCGTTTTTAAGATGAGGACACGTGTGGTGCCAGTAAAAAAAAGAAAAAAGAAAAAAGGGCTTTTCTTTCTTGAAAGCTGTGACTTTCTCTTTCTCTCCCATGTCTGTGTATGTGTTTGTGTGTTTATTTATTATAAATCAAGTGATGATTTTATTAGTGCAGCACAGCATACTCTGTACACTGTCCATTAGTGAAAATAAACAACTATACTGTCACCCCCTCCCCCCCTCCCCTTGTCATATGTGGGTATTTAATTGCTTCATTGCATCCAGATTAAGCAATAACAGATTTTCCAAGCACGTCTGACTTCTCCACTCTAGATATTGTAGGATGACCACCGCTCCACCCGGCCATTTCTCTGCTAAGGTGCTGGAAGTATCACTGAATCCATTTATGACTTCTCTACTCTGCAATTACTACTACGAACCCAGCACTGCTAAGTATATCCCTCAGTTTGACCAGTGTTTACATGCAGCAGCTCACAGTTAAAAGGAAAACATACGTAACTTTATGCAAACATGTGCCCATCAACGCATTTTTGTTGCATTCTTGACATTTTTACCTGGGTTGTAAATGTGATGACGACAAGCACAATGACAGCCAAAGTGTATAATCATGTTTTTGAGCTGCATTCTTCTGCAATTAGGGGTTTGTTTTCATGATATAACTGTCAGATTTGATGTGTGGACAGACTAAAGGAGAAGCCTGAGACGCTGGACAGCTTGCATCATGTGTAAGTACGTCTTTCATTGGTGTTTGCTCGGGTCCTCTTGACAGAACACAAAAATGCACAATTTGAAACCCAGCTTGCCTGTTACATTATGTAATACATGGACTAGTTAACATGGAGTGGAGTGAACATGGAGGAGAGGATGTCTAAACCTTGACTCTGACCCTGAAAGGTTGTGACTCTCGTTAAAAGTTATTGCTTCTTGTCCTTGTTGACAGTTTTCTACACATTTGTCAAGCGCATATTACACAAATAACACCAATCAAACCACAGTTCAGTGAAGCCCTTCAAAACAAGCAGGGGTGTAACTAGGAGAGTAAAGCGGTAAAGCAACGTTAAGGATGCATTTGGGGTTTTAAACATTGCATATGTCACCTATTTAGGCCTGAAGTTGAGAAATATCAGAGGTCACTCATTGTCTTCATGAATGAAGTGCAGTTTTGTCTGAACATGGAAAACAGAAAAATGCCAAAGACTTCACTGTATACTCAACGGTACACTAGTCCTGTGACTGACAACAAGCACATAAGAAATGGCTTTGTAAAAAGCCAGATGACCAAGATCTAACAAATCAACACTTCCAAAATGAGTCCTTTGAGAGACACTGCTCAGACTGCTGGCTGCTTTCATGTGTTTCATCTCAGAGGCACTTGAACTTCACCTCCTCCATTAATCTCTCTAGCCACCCTCCCCTCTTTCTGTGCCCTCCTCCCTCCCTCTCCCCAGCTCCCTACCAAACTCCCCTCGGTCAGCACAACTCTTTATTTTCTCTTACTACAACAGTGGCAATAGAGTGCTGTCAGCCTGACAGTCCATCCCTTCTGAAGCAGGCTTTACCCCCCTGGCTGCCCTGCCTCTGCTGCTAACCCGCTTTCCAAAGGGCAGGAAGGCCCGTCTCTGGCCCAGTGCCTGATGGGCTCCGACAGCAGTGTGTTCTGGGATTACGCCCGCTGAAAAGGGGGGCATTCCAGCACCGACGGCCTTTGTCACAGCACGGCCACTGTTTGCTTTTGACAAGACAGCTGTTCAAAGCCCTCTCGGCCCCCATGGATGGCGTGAAGGGAAAGAACCCAGAGGTGACTTCCGTTTATTGGTGGTGTCGGTGGATGTGTGGTGCCACCTCGACCTGAGGTCCCTTCTTCAGCATTTTATCCGTAGCCCCTGTCTGACCATCTTATACAATCGCATTTGATTCTACTGTGATCACTACATTGAAGTCACAGAAATAAGTCGCTGCTTTTGGCAAAAGGGAGTCAAACCTTGAGAATTAAAGAATATCACTTAACAAGCTTGAGACTTTTCTGCCCCACGGCCATATAGGTTTTCTCTCCAAGCAGAATTTTCAATTGTCCTTTCCTTAGAAATTGGAGCTTGTCCTAACCAGTAGTCTCTCATTCAAATTCTCTGGAAGACGGACAATTGACCACAGGGAAAACCTTCTTAGATTTGTGTTCCTGCGTGTTTGGTGTAATTGCACAATAGTTGCTCAGTTTTTAAGTTGTTTGTTGTATCTGGAGCATTCAACTAAACCTTGTTTTAAATAATATATATATATAAATAAATAAACATACAATATTTACATATACGTGCTTGAGGTATGACAAAAACACCTTTTAGTCCTCACATGCCGGGGCCTCCCTCAGCTTGGGGGCCTGAGTAGGTGGTACCCCTGTTTTCCCTCTGCATCGCCCCAGTGTTAGGTGTTTTTGGGAAGTGTGTACTGTAATTAGTAAGTCGCCCTAATGAAGGCTTGTATCCTATGTGGAAGCAGCTGGTCCAACACAGAGGAATGATAATGAATAGATGCTTTGACATGAGGACCTGAGCTACACACAGCAACGCAGCTGGTACACAACAGAACCAGTGTAGTAAACACCCCCACACCCTAAGATGATCGTATTGAAAGAAACTTATCAGAAATAAATGTCTTGTTTTCAGCATCATGCGTCAGTATAACACAGAATTTTTTTTTTTGTCTATTTTAATTATAGTAAAATATAATTTTCTTTTGAAATGGCTGAAATGAGATTTCAATAATAATTTCATTGTTTTGATCCTTTACTAGAGGAGAGAAGTTTTGATGCACATAGCAGGGCTACTTTCAACTATAACATGTGCGTGGAGAATAAAAGGTACATTCTAAATGATTCTTAATTATCACCCAGTTGATGTATTTAAATGCAAAACTAAACCGCGCTGGTCCTGTAGTAATGTGAGCGGTGGTATATTGCTACAGAAGTTTAGGGAAATTCCAACATACAACTCTGGCGTCACCTTGTGGTGCTTTTGAATTCCTGTTAACAGTGACACAATTGCTAAAACACCTTATGTGATCAACCCTTACAATGGCTTTTATTGAGTATGTGGTTGTTGATTAGAATACATGATAAGCATGATAACAATGAAACACTTGTGACCATGAATCCTCATTTATTTTCTTATTCTTGATCAAATTAGCCTTGTGTTTTAATTTCTGAAAAACATAACACGTTGGGGAAGGTTTTGTGATTCTAATATTGCAGATATTCCTTCAGTTTCTAGAGTTTTTATATTCACAGCTAACTTGTTCACATTATTTATGCTGTACAATAATTTCCATCACATTCTGCAGCATTCAGAATGATAAAGATCAATATAAACAATTTATATAAAGCCACAAACAGAAGAACATGAGCATACATCAGACAAAAGAAAATCAATTTCATACTGAAGATTTTTTAAAAAGTGAAGCATTATGATGAGATGTATCCGTGGAAGCTATGAGCGATGGCACAGAACCAAAAGCTAGTCTTCTGTACAAACAAATTACATGTAAGGCAAATGTGACTTGAGCAAGACTTGTATGTACAAATGTGGAGGCAGGTCCAGGATATTAATCCTACACACAAAACATTCTGCTTTTAGACATGTGCAGTGTTCTTGCCTGTTTACTGAGTTAATAATTCATTTGTCAAACCATTCATCTGCTTTGCCTGAATGACGAGCAAACTAGCAGCCAATTGTGCGTCTTTGGTGACCGAGAAAAACTGATCTAGCTGACACTGTAATCACCCAACCAATGCAGATTCAGCTGACTACAATCAGATAGAAGTGCAGTGGAGTTTTATGGAGAAAACAATCAGATTTTATCCAGACAGAGACAGTCCCTTACATCTCATACACACACGGAGTAGAGTATTCCCTTCGAAGCAAACATGTAAAGGAATCACATTTTAAGGTAGGATAACTGTTAGAGGCATGTGCAAGAGTCAGCTGGACAAAACCCAAGACAACATGTCAGTGTAAAAGTCTGTGGTGGGAGGAAATAGGCAAACGTGGGTTCATGGACTAACCTGAAACAGAAATGGAAAATTCACTCAAGAAGAAAATAATATGGATTAAAAAAAGTTTTCACCTGTTCGTTTGTGAGAGTTCAAAAAAAAAAAAAAAGAAGAAGAAAAGACTAAATCAAAGAACAGGTGTATTCGACAAAGGCCAGGATGGAAACCAAGTGAGAGGATGGTGTCTTTGTCTCTGCAAAGTGAGTCCAGGCGTTTGTTTTATTTGAGGTTTTTAATCTGTTGGTTTGTGTTGTGGATTTTGACATCCATCTTGTCCACTTTATTCATCAGAGAATCAATGGAGTCGTCCTGGTCCTCTATCTCAGACTGGAGACCAAGTCCAAGGTTCTTTAGTCTTCTCAAGCCATCGGACATCTCATCTATCAATGGATATTTTAAGGTCATGCATTTGAAAGAATAGTGTAATTGTGCAGTGTAAATTATAGTAAATAAATTTAAACCTTACCAAAGGCAGGGATATCATCCCCTTGCATCTTTCTCATACAGCATTGTATAAAACTTGGTATTATGATCAAACAGAAATGGTTTTTACCTAGATTATTGTCGAGGGTCTGGTGAGCCTCCCTAAGGTGTCTATTCTGAGGGTATCCGTTCTGTCTAGACGAGCTGTCATCTGCTGATGCAGAAGCTCCAAATCCTGCAACATAAAAAAAATCAAAAATGGTGGCAGTCAGTTTGTGGTATGGTTATGCCATGCTGAGGTTCTAGTGCAAACTCTTACCTCCTGTGTTAATCTTTCTGAGGTTGGGGTGGCTGGCTTGGTACTTATCTTCATGTTCTCTGCTGCTGGACATGGCATTCTGTAATCTGAACACGAGAAAGTCAGATAAGTATTGTTTAACTATTTATCAAGGAAAGTCAATGACAAGTGGCTGGAAAATGCAAAATAGCAATTAAAATGTAGTTGCTAAGAATGAAGTAGCAACCGATGATGTAAAGATACAATACTGTAATGGTTTTATCTGACATGACTGTGATTCATATTGACAGACTGAATCTTACCTTTCACTGCCCTGGTAGGCCTTAGGCTGCTCAGGTGGTGGCTTTGTCTCTGGCTTGCCCTTGAAGTAATTGACAAGGCCACCCCACACACTCCTTATACTGTTAATGTGCTTCTGACTGGTCTTCAGGTCCTGATCCATGT